TAGCAAAGATCTTATAAACACAAGATAGCGTTCTCCGCGATATACGTACGTGTGAAAATTCTGTAATAAGGCATGAATGGCGCCCTCTTGCTAAAAAGGAAACTTTTGACCTTTGACCGCTATGACCATACCTGGGGTATTCAGACACAATATCATCAATCCATGCGTTGATCTATGTAATAAAGGGCTGTCTCTTATACACATCCTTTGGTATAATAGCGCATGAATGACGCCCTCTTGCTAAATTGGAAACTTTTGAACCTTGACCGACGCTTCTATTTGTTACGCGTAAATCGCGGAGAACGCTATCTTGTGTTTATAAGATCTTTGTTAATGAAATAATATTTAGTCAGAGGGCTTATTTATGGTAATAATATGTATACTAAGCCTGAAGGTGGCGCTTTCCTACGGCAGCCATCTTGGATGGTACACATACACAACTCTGCATTGCTCCGCCATCTTGTCAGCACTCTAGTTGTTTAATAGCTCTATGGGAGAACTCTATCTTGTATTTCTAGTATCTTTGATTTCCACTATGACGGCTAGCTAGGCCTTGCCACCTATAGAATTGTTTTGGCTTTCGTTTATCTCAAAGCTCAGGTATTTCGTCTGTAAATTAACTCGACGTATGCTTTGAAGCTTACTTCTGACCCCATGTAATAAGAAGATGATGACAACCTTTGATGAACACTAATATTAAGATTTATTCAACGTTAAATCTCCGAAGTAACAATTCAATCAAGATGGCGTATATCGTACAGTACGACCCAAACTTGCACGCGAGCACATAGCAACAAGTAATAAAAGTGATTAACTATAGAGGGCGCTATATCGTTACAGATGTTAACTCATTAAATATCTTTAATGTTCCCCTTATTAGATTTTTTCGGACTTTTAGTATGTTATTCTGTGTATATTTCTGGAACTGATTCTGCAAAAATTATCTCTGTAGCAATCCACAGATTGACTGGACTAATACTCGTTTTGTGGTGTACCCATGCAGGACGAATATGTAGCTAATTTATATAAAATTGCAGTTGCTACAGTTTTTCATAAATGAGAATAACTTAATTTCGATTGAGAAATACACAAGTGGCCTATCAAATGAGAATTATTATTTGAATTTTTTTTTAAATAATTAAAAGTACAGTAAATAAAACAGCTTGACGAAACTGCACTAAATGCGGTAATTGCGTTCCATCCATTGTGGATATTGGGCTTAAAAAAATTCATTTTGACTTGGCATGATGCCTACTGCTTGGGAAAGAAAAGAAAACACAGTAACCTCCACATTATCTAAAAAATGCACGTGTGTGTGCCTATGGAGGAAGAATGTAGCTACCAATTTAAATAAAATTGCAGTTGCTACAGTTTTTCGGTGAGTTAATCCTGTTGGGCCTAGGCAACCCTAGGCTTGGCTTGGCTTGGCTCTAGCCTAGGTAGGCCTGCCTAGGCCTTGTCTCTAGCTAGGCTAGACTGAGGCCTAGCTATGGAAAATTGTCCAAAACGGCAAAGCTGTAAACTGTTATTATTCGGCTTATCATCGGAAATACAGAAATATACTTATTATTTAAATAGGCCTTTTTCACGAATCGGTAGACATCTTGAAAGTGATGACAAACATTGCGAATCAGCGGTGCGTAACCAACAGAAAAACGATAAGCTTTTGGGCTAATTTTCTGACATCATGTTATTTAAAAAATCATAACTCCATAACGGGGCGTTGTATCCAAAAAAAAATTCCAGAAAAATGTTCTTAAAAGACAAGTCTACACCACTATGTGATTGAAAAAAAAAATTGAAAAATGTTTTTGACCTCTGAAATCAAGATGGAAAAAGAAAAGCCTATCTTAGTAGTGTATTAAAATAGGCCTATACATTACAGTGCAGTAGTACTAGTAATACACTGGACTAGCATTGTTTTAGTTACTATATGAGAGTTTCCTGTGTTTAATAGGCGTATGGTTCCAGTGTTCCACTTTGTAAAGAGTTTAAGTTGGCTAGGCCTATGTATAACCGTTATCAAACAAAGACTGATTCCACCAAACACTTGCTTGGCATGCCTCAGACTAGGCCTTGCTTAAATTCTTCGCTTGGCGAAAAATCTAAGCAAGAAAGGCCTGCTCGGCCTTGCTTAGATTCTACTTTTCGCATATATGAGTCATAAACTTAGCCTAGTTCCTCCGTGTTCATACTGCCCGAACTTCAAAATCCTTACATCCCAAGTTTTGGTCCAAGAAGCTTGAAATAATACCACGCTTTACAATCCGACCAAAATAGGCATATTCATACAATTTAAGAAATGCACAAAACTTTTCGTAGGGCTAGACTTCGTCACTGTTATGGTAAAGATCTAGGCCTAGATCGAGAGAACGAGTTTCCCCTTCATGATTATTACTATTGTGTCAAATTTTTCCAATAATTTTGACGCAGACCTTAAAACAGTACTACGCTATAAAATGCTAGGAGGCCTTATGAATCTTCTTATTTTGTGCTTGTCATGTGAGGTGAGCAGTGGGACTAGCGAAGTACTTGATAAGCAGATGATAGCTAGGCAAAGAGAGTAAGTATATTCTTATAATACTGTCATAAAAAAATAGGCGTAAGGGTTCAACTCAATAACCAGAGTCATATCTTAGGCCTATCAAGCAAGGCATCATCTTCAGGACTTAGGCCAAGGCACATGTAAACACACACTACTGCTCTATTTATATTTATACTTAATTGCAATAAAAAATTGAATATACTGTAAACAAGAGGATTCATACAGGCCTAGCATTTTATATACCGTAGTACTGCATTAAATGGCCCTGCATCTGTAAACAAGAGGATTCATACAGGCCTAGCATTTTATATACCGTAGTACTGCATTAAATGGCCCTGCATCAATGCTAGGCCTGTATGGAAACTTATTCTCGATCTAGGCCTAGATTCTGTACCATGTGAGAGTGACGAAGTCTACGTAAAGTTTTGTGCATTCAAAGTGTATGAATATTTTGGTCGGATAAGATAATCTAGGCATCTTGGACTAAAACTTAAGGATTAAGAACTTCAGACTTGGTAAGACCGTGCTTATGACTGATATATATGCCACCTAGATCGATATGTCACTAGAGCAGGGCCGCCGCCAAAAGAAGAATCCAAGCAAGGCCTAGGCCTGCATGCTTGCTTTCGTAAGCAAAGAATTTAAAAGCAAGGCCTAAAGGGTGATTCCCTAGAGGCATACTGTATGCCAAGAGTTTGGTACAGAAATCAGTCCTTGTTTGATAATGGTTATATATAGGCCTAGCTAAATGAAACTCTTTACTATAAAGCTGACCATACGCCTATTCAACGATGACAGTAAAGTCAAACAGTATTGTACTTTTAATGTTCTAATTTCCCAGTACAGTACATCGTTCTCCTTCCACCGCTCATTGCGGGTGATATGCAATGCCAGCAATACCAGTCTTCAAAAAATGACGTCACGCACATTCTGGCAACTTCATTGGGTGATGGTGATGTAATGCTATTTACCGTACCTTTAGCAAAACGAAGTAGAAATACGGTACCGTATCTCTAGCCACAGCATAAGTTATAAATACAAGAATATTAATTAATGTCCATTAGATTAGAATCTATTTAAATAGGGCCTAGGCCTAACTGATATTTAAGATAAGTTATTAAATGAATAAAAATATAAATACAATTATAGAATAATCCTTATGTTAATAAATATGCCATAGTTTTAGCCTCGGTGTACGTATTGCCAAATTACAATACGGACAATAGTTCTTCACATATTTGTTTATGATCTGGTTTATTGCTGTTTGACAAGAAACACAGTAGGGCCTAGGCTAGTAGGCCGCTCTACAGTAGTCTTAGGTAATTAAACTTTTGAATGCAAATGCAATTCGCATATTTTAAATCGTTTGTTTATTATTTATATTTCAAACAATCATCCAACAGAAACACTTTGTTGCCACTTACAGGCAAAAATTGCAAAATAAACATCAAAATATATAATCATAAGATTTACATTTTTCTTTTTTACTTTTGAAAAGATTATTATAAAAATTATTATTATTGTCATTATTAGGCATTACAATATATAGCTGCAGCTTGGTTTTAAATGCACAATAACCGTAAAATGCAAAGAAAATCCCTATGTTCTGTTTTACAGACAGACATACAGTACTTTCCAACACTCAATCATCTGAATTTTGTCAAGTTTACACTATCAAATTTTCAGGAAAAAATTATAATTTGTGGCATTTTGGTACCAATAATTAGGCATTTCTGTTACAATTTTCCCTTTGTGCACAGACTTCATCAACAATGTTGACATACAATATCTTTCCAAGTGTTACTGACACCTCAAATGATCTTAATGCATGCATGAAAAAACTTTCAATTTTCTACATTTGTGGGGTGGGGGGAGGAGGAACAACTTTAATCTTCCAGATTTTGAGTTCCAGATGTTGGAACATCTGATGTCTTGTAATTAACATTCTGTCTCTGCTCCAGACACAAGCACCCAAGTTTGATAATTGGTTGTGACGATGGTGTACTCAGAATCTACACTCTTCCAACTGATGGCGACAAAGATCAAGACACTCTACAGGTGTGTAAAGGAATACTTGTTCAGTGGCGGCATCAGAATTACCCCTACAGGTTGTCTATCATTCTACAATAGATAGTTCGCATTCACCACAGCCTGTCATGGTTGGGACCAATGTAAAAAACATTAGGGTACATATCAAAATGGCCTCTCAGGCTAGTGGTCTCTGCCTTAGAAAATGATTCAACTAAGTTTTCACTAACAGACAGGGCCCCCACCCCCAACCTCCGCTGGCGCTACCCCTGGAATTGTTTGCTTCCTCAGCACGTTGATCCCTTCTACCAGCCACAGACAGAATTTAATTATATTACCTCTTCTGGCACTAATGAGTCTTTATCATTTGTTTATTATCTTACAGATGAAGCTAAGTCTTGAAACTAAAGGCGGCCCCATTCAGACCCTGATGGCTTATGATGTCTCAAAACTTGGTTCCACTGACTTGATCACAGCAGACTCACGAGGGATGGTCACAATATTTTGTAACGGGCAGATCTCTGCCAGAAAAAGTCTTTCAAAGGATTCTGTTAATTGTTTGCAAATTGATGATGATGCCAGTGAGTGTTCAATTCAATTTATTGTTCCACATTTTGCAGTATCCAATCTGAATTTGTATTATTATGTTGCAATATAAGCTACAGTAGGTATTAAATAGGTAAAAACACATTACAAACTAGAGGGCACTCTGAGAGTGCATAACTCCCTGCCTAAATCATAATTCTCGGTATAGATTTCCCACGCATATTCTCTGCATTGTATTCAGTAAACTGCTCGTAACTAAATGGCTTGACCGGTAATAATAAGTTGTGTTTATTACGAACAATGAAATTATAAACAATGAAAAAACAAATATACATCATAGGATTCGAACCTGCAGTGTAGTTTGCTATCCACTACACGAAACTGTTTTAACATGTTTTTCTGTGAAATTAATGACCATATTTTTTTTACACTTAAGCCCTGTAAGCACACAAACATACGGCAGACAGTTAAAAAAGAAATAGTTTTTTGTTCATTGTGTCCTTGACCATTGACCCTGACCATTAAAAATTTAGTCATTTTCAGATATATGGTCATTGAATATTGTGGCCGAATTTGACAGGTTTCAGTTGAAAACTGCACTGTAGGCTATTATATAAAGAAGTTTCGTTGATTGTGGCCTTGATCTTTGACCCTGACCCTTTAAAATTTAATCACTTAATCACCTTTCCATTGTTAGTCATGGAACATTGTGGCCAAGTTTGACGAGTTTCGGAAAAAACTGTGGCCTATAGGGTGCTCACAGACAAGCACACAAACGGGCGAAAATATAACCTCCTTGGCGGAGGTAAAATCAAGCATTTTTATTAAGGCACAATACAAACAAACTTACATCAGAAATCATACTTAATGTAGAGACAAATAAGTGCACATGATTTATCAATATCACTAAATGAAAACAATTACAGAAATTTCCAATCTCATGAGAGGATTGTTTTGATAAATATAGAGAAAAATATTAGCTGATAATTTGGATTTTTTCTTTAGAATAAGGCTTTTGGTAAGAAAAGTTTTATTGCACTTTCATCAAATTTCTCCATGCTGTCTATGATAAATATAAAAAAATAACATATATGGAATGACACTTTTGTAACAGTGGCATGCAATCACATGGGTAGTGCATTCTTAAAGTAAAAGACATAAGATATCAAATGCAAAATTAACAACAAAATAAATAGTTACCAATAAATAATTCTTGCAAGACACCATGTTGACAACCCGCAATACACAGGCTGTGTGTGATGGCCAAAAATGCAGCATTACCCTCAAGGAAATAATGGAATCGCCCATTATATTCATTCACATTATTTTTTTTGAGTGCTGCAGCATACCTTCAAGAAAATAATGGAATTCTCCATTATATTCAGGCACATTATTTTCTTGAAGAGGGGCTATTCCAATATTTTCTTTTATGTTTGGGAATAAAAAATTAAGCTTACATCACCTTGACCTTGTACTTTAATCTTTTCTTCTGAAAATTGAATGGTGTTTTTGCGTAACTTGCTAACAGACAGAGGTCAGCACGCCAGACTGACAGCGGTGAATACATTTAACCTCCTTTGGCAAAGGTAATAAAATTAAATAACACAAGCAGCTCTTTCCAACAACAATAAAGTAGCCCGATTATGCATTTATAGCTTTAATGTATTTTCTATATTATTTAATATAGGGAAGGGGTAATGTTGTGTGTGTATCTTTATTGAGAATAATAATTATTTTGTTTTAATTTCTTAGCTGGAAATTTTACCATCATAGCAAGTGATGGTGCTGGTGTCATCCATGGATTTATGCCATACAGTCATCTATGGATGATAAGGCTTGCAGATATGCCCATTCAAAAGGTTTATATCATCCTCATTAACAATAATTCTTCCTCCTTTTCACCACCTTATTATTTTTGCATCATCATTCATGGTTATCATCATTATATTCATTATCACCTTCAATATACATTCTTCTTCAGAATATTTGAATCATTATTAAACAAGGTGCTACCCATTATTATAAAAAAAAAGGTGCTACCCATTATTATTAAAAAGTAATTGAAGTCTTTGTTTTTACAGAATATCCCGCAGTTACCTCGAATAAAGTGTCTCCTAGCAACAAGTCTTATTGGGGCATCAGGTCAAGAGTCAAATTATGTAATTGCATCAGATGATTGTAAGAATCTTCACTTTCTGCAGCAAGGCACTGTGGTTGTAACACTTACCTGCCAGTCAATCATTACAGCTGTAAGCTATTTATATTCTGTTTTATGTAAGTGTTTCATATGAAAATAATTCACACCTTGTAAATCTGTTTTATCTATTGTTCTGAATTTGTTTTCAGATGTGCAAAGGATATTTTGTTCCAAGTGATGAATTGGAATTGACTGCCACTTGTCCTGAAACGCCCTCACAGGTTGCTCTGGGTGCTGAGGATGGTTCAGTGTATATAATGTGTAATTTCCAGGTACAGTACCATAGGTTGTTAAGGATTGTAAAGCCCCATTCCTGGCAAAATTTCAGTTGTTAAGAAAAGTGTGATTTTTATATGTTATAAAGATAATTATAATACCAAATTGCTAGTTTAACTGAATTTAGACATTCCTAAACATGAACAAAATGTAAAAGTAAGACTGAAATTTGATTATTTTTTTTTTGTGTTCCACACAAAAAATAAAAATCAATGAATTTTGATGTTTGTCTGTGAAGAAATATAGTAGGCACCAAAAACAGTAACTCATCAACACTGCTGCTAGGCTAGGCCTAGCCTTACCTCGATGTAGATTCTGTTATCAGTCATAAAAAACGGCCAGCATGATTTTTTCCGTTGGTAGTATTGACACTTGTGAAATATAATATTTCATTGAAATTATTTCAAATTTGTTAAAAAAATAAATTCTGACCGAGATTTTGCCAATTAAACAAACATATCTCCCGCCTATTCGATTGACCGCAGTGTGCGAGATGCGAAGTACACTAACTAATCTCATTAGAGAGGGCACATTTTATTGACTTTTTAAAGTATACACAAAAGCGAGAACATTCCAGCGGATGCGATCTACAACCTCTGATAGTAACAAAGAAGTTGTTGAGAAAATGGTAATCTCCTGTGAGAAGTAGTCTCTATTTTTTATTTTTTTTTTATCCTTTTGTGTAAAACTTAAATTTATGCCAATATTTTTCCATGGTTTATAATAATTAGAGTAATGCATGCTGTTTTTTTTAAAAAAAAGTGCTTTTTAGTGAAATTTTTCCGGGAATGGGGCTTTAAGTGAAAGTATTGAAGCTGAAAATGCCAAACTTTAATTTTCTTTTAATATTTTTATGGTGTTTATTCATGTTATAGCATAACTGATTGAGGATTTATAAAAGTGATATTCAAAATCCATGACCTTTAACGGCTGTGAATAACTACCTTATTGTCCTATACCCGTACTTCCTTTTGTTGAATAATAGAATATTATTATGCATGCCTTGGACAATGGTCTTTGTGTACTAACAGTGTACCTTGATCTGTCAGCGGCATTTGATACCATTGAGCATAGTATCCTCATCCGTAGGCTTGAAGAAATTGGTATTTCGGGCATGGCATTAGCCTGGTTCCGGTCATATTTATCACCTCAGTTTCAGTTCCTGAATATCTAACCTGTGGCGTGCCTCAAGGTTCCATTTTAGGGCCCATTCTTTTCTTATTATAACATATGCATCGATCAAGCGAATTCAACTTCAATTAAATACTGCCGCACGTCTCGTCAAACAAATACCGAAAACTCAACACATCACCGCTACATTGAAAATACTTCACTGGCTTCCAGTAAGGCAGCGCATTACATTTAAGATCCTTGTTCACACCTTTAAATGCCTTCACAACTTATCGCCTACGTACCTGACCGATCTTATCCATCTCCAGTCATCAACATGTTATCAAAGTCTACGTTCCACCTCATGTCCATACACTTTATCTACCCCTTTAATTCGTTCTAAATATGGAGAGAGGTCCTTTCAAGTTGCTTCTCCCAAGCTATGGAATGCACTCCCTATTGAGATCCGACAGTCTCCTTCTCTATCCATTTTTAAGGAGAGACTCAAGACCTACTTTTTTCAAACTTTTTAAATTTTCCATTTTTGTTGTTTTACCTTTGTTGTTTTACTTCCATCGTTTAGTTTTTCTAGGATAGGCTAGTCTAGACGCCAACATCACTTGAGCATCTGTGAGTTATGATCCTGCAAACCACTGCTTGCCTGTGGTCTCAAATTGCAGGAAAACGGTGTGGTGATGTTGGTTCCCCTGCAATAGTCTGTTTTCTCATGCTTTTTTTTTATTCTTAGGTCGCTTGGTTAGACTTCAGGATTTAGTTTTTGGTTTGTTTTCTTTTGTGTAACTTAAGCGCATAGAGACCATGTAGTATGCGCTTTACAAGTCCCAAACCATTACCATTGTAATAAATATAAAGGCTGCCACCTAGTGATGTTATTATGTCTTGTGTAAATCAGGGCTCCAGTGTTTACTCATGTTCTTTAGATGCTGAAGGAACATTTGACGCAATTCCCCATGTCGTAATAATTCAAAAACTTAATTCAGCAATTAAATCTGATTGGTGGCACTGTATGTATGAATAGTACACAAATATAAATGTTGCTGTAAAATGGAATAGTATGACTAGTAGAAGTATTGCAATCAACAAAGGTACTAGACAAGGAGGACTGTCATCTCTTTTTATATTTAACTTGTTCTATAACGATCTAGTAAACGGTTTAAATGAACTAAATTGTGGTATTGTGATTGCCAACTATTGCCAACTGTAAGTGGCAATCACAACTCCTACATCGGAGTCACACTAAACTGCAACCTGAAGGTAAATTCTCTCATGGACACGAGAATTTGTAAATCACAGAAAGAACACTGTATATACTTGTATATAGTTGTCAATGTAGATGTGTATAAGAGACAGCCATTATATTCAGGCACATTATTTTCTTGAAGAGGGGCTATTCCAATATTTTCTTTTATGTTTGGGAATAAAAAATTAAGCTTACATCACCTTGACCTTGTACTTTAATCTTTTCTTCTGAAAATTGAATGGTGTTTTTGCGTAACTTGCTGAATATCTGATGTACATGTTTATGCATCGTTTGTAATACTTATGCTTATTACACAATTTAAGGAATGAAACGCTCCTGTTCTCGTTGAAAAACTCCTTAGTGAGTGTAATGTCAGTTTGTTATGCCGTATGTAATTTGTTTTTAATGTAATTTTATTGTTTCGATTGTCTATGTTTCTCCTTATACTGGAGGTTTTATGAATAAATTGATATTGAAATATTACTGCTACATAAAGTATGTTCTTATTGGTATCATCATTATTGCTATTATTTTAATCATTCTTCATTTTGTGTTAATTCTTTGATAGATATATTTTGATGAGTACACAAATGTGAAGTTACCAATAAAACAACTTGCAGCATTGCCAGGGAATAACAGCAGTGAAGTACAAAATTTAGTTTGCACAGGAAACTTTAATCACCTAGTGATCTACCATGCTAAGAAGGCAAGTCATAAATCAGGTCATTCTACATTCACTTCATTGTGTCAGCAGCACTAATAATAATAATACTATATTAATTTCCTCAAATACAGTAGCATAACATCTATGAATTCTCACTGTCTAAAAAAAGGCACCAGATGTTAAGGGGCTCCTTGATATTCATCAGCATTTATTTTGACTTGCCCACATCCACCGAGCAGGGCATTTGAAGGAGCAGACCATGGGGAAACCCAAAACAAAAACAAAAACAAAAACGCCAAAGCAGCGCATTGCCCTGTACCCCACTGGGCTCTACCCATACCCAGCCCATAGGGTAGTAGGGCCCAAAGTAGCCTTAGCCAGGGGCTCCATGCCTGCTTGTTAAATCACTGATTATTCATATGCATTGATATTGGATTGGATTGGATTTATTTGGTGTAAACACCAAGGATAGCCCACGAAAGCCTAGAAGAAAACTTATTTCCAGTGGGGTCCTTCTGGTGGTGATTCTGAAAAGTGTACTGCGTCTTCAACTTGCACATGGGCAAACAGCTTAAACATCTCATCAGTGCGCAGCCTCCAGCTGAAATACAAGGAGAGGCAGCGATGGGAATTGAACCAGAGACCTGGAGATTTCCATTGTTCAGCGCACACACAGTGGCTATCACCAGATTAGCCGACTGAGCTAAGCTGTTCTCTCTAGATATTATAATATAACAATAATTTATTATGCAAATTTCGGTGAACCCATAATATACAACAATAAAATTTTACCTGTCTGGGATTACTATGACCGCTAAATTTCATGATCAGAGAGGCTCAGATAAATAAACATTTATAGTTTTATAATACTTTTTTTCATAAAACATGACTCCATATGCCTATAGACAAAAATATTAATTAATCAATGGGTTTATAAAGTGCATAATACAGCAGTCTCTATGCGCCAATTAAATAAGTATAAAGATCTAACAAGACAGTCAGTGCATTAGCTCTTTCCATTTAAAAAAAATTCAAATAAATCCTTCAATCAATATCTTTACATAATATATAATTAGTTTTCATTACATTTCCAGGACCATTTGCAAAACAGTGCATAAAACTGTAATACTAAATTGCATTATGCTACTGAAATGTATTTCTGGTAAAATATGTTATAAATAAATTTCCGATATAAAAAAGAAATCTAATTATTTACCCTACTTACCCATTCATTATAATCATCATGATTTAACATCTTCGGTTCATTATTAGTGTTGTTAAATTTTAAAAATCAAACCCGTCTTTGTTTCTAATCTTCTATTTCAGTTGGTTGCAAAGTATGAAACATCTGATTGGGTTTGTTCATTGACTGTAGCTGCCCAGAACCAAGATGGCAGCCATCAGGTCATTGTAGGATGTTGCAACAATGTAGTAGAAGCCATTAAGATAAGCTGAGATCAAAGATGGCAGCTACTGTATCTGGTAATTGTACGATGAATATTGCCACATTCCATGAAATTTAAAACAATAAAATATTGTAAGCCGAGAACCAAGATGGTAGCCTTCTGGTTGCAGCAATGTAGTGGAAGCCATTAAAATATGTTAAGATCAAATATGGCAGCTATGAGGTGATTGTAGGATGGCTGGAGGTTGCAACTATTGGTGTTGAAAAACTATTGTGAAAGATATTACAATAAAGCTGAGAGCCAAAATGGCAGCCATTAGGTAATTGTAAGGTATTGCTACCAGTACAAGTAGGTAAAATCATTAAAGTAAGCTGACAACCAAGGTGGCAGCTACCAGGTGTTTGTAAAGCTTTGTCTACACTATCAAATTGTATGTGACAAAAAAATGTGATGTGCCTATATATGGGTACGATGACATCATATCAGATATCAAATTGTACCAAAAAAAGTTGTTCAACTCTATGTTCCATCAAATTTTATGTGACGCATTTTTTTGAAAGTGTAGACAAAGCTTAAAATGTTGTTCCAACAATGCTGTGAAAGACAAAAGCTGTAACTAATTGTGACAGCCAGTAGGTCTAACATCAGGTCAATATAGCTTTGTGTGAGTGGTATTAAGAACCTGCATTTTCAATACTGGTTAAAATTGAATTTTAGGTGAAAACATGATGTTGTTGCCATAGTAAATTTTCTCTCATTAATAAGATGAAAGTGAAGAAAAGCCATTAATAACAATACTTAAGCAAAAAGTTCCAAATTGCTTCCTACAGACTGGGTTCCAATCCCTAAAGTTTGTCTTAATCAGTGAAAAATAGATTTTGGCACCAATGGCGTTCTAAGCTATACTTCTTTCCATTCAAGATTCAACAACATAACAAGTTTCTCGACATAAACAGACGCTGGTGGCGCTCTTCGAAATTATCTAACACTAGGAAAAATCAATTAATTAGAGACTTAAGCACGACAGGTCTATGCTTCCTGCAGCAGAAAATGTCTAAATTACTTTAGTGTGTTTTACTGGAATTTGAAAGTGCTGTGAAAGCAATGTGTACCTTGATGGATGTAAATAAAAGCATTGAAAAAATTGCAGAATGAAATAGTGGAGTACTTTTAAAGATGTAGTGTTATAGAATCTGGAAATATAAAAAAAAATTAATTTGTAACATTTCAAAAAGTGAAATAACAATGAGTCACAGGGCCTTGGGAAAGTATTGCAGGCCCTATGCATGTTAGTAATCGATTCTGTACAAATTAGAAAAAAAATATCATATTTTACAACAGAGTATCAACTTGGGATAACTAAAATATAAGATGGAAAAAAAGACCAACCAATTTTATACTTAATTTATTCCCATTTAATCCTATCCATAATGATGTTATTAACCAGAGTGATTTTTTATTCTTCATTTTAACCGATGCAACTAACAGTTTGAAAGGAACAAACAAACATTTTTAAAGTTTATGATTATGTTCTGTGAATTTACCCATGGAGATCTAAAATGACCGAATTGACAGGAAATTTCCCCCTACCAAAATATGAGTTGATCATTTCGGATCTCAATGGATCAATACAAAAACATAACCATAAACCTTAAACATGTTTGTGCGAGATTTTTCTTCATTTGAAATGTTAGTTAAGTAAGTTAAAAAAGATAAACAATTACTGCGGTTAAAACTTAATAAAACGATTGGGGATAGCAGTGGTGGATTAATTCAAATGGGGAGGGAACCAACCCAACCTGGGCTCCATAAATTTGTCAAAAGTTTTTACAATGGAGAAAAAAATATTGTCAAATTGTAAGTCTGAGAGTGCATAGGTGGCATAATTGAGGTGGCATAATCATAAATGTTCTTACCTCAGTCAACCCCAACCATGGTGGGGCTGAAGTGGCCTAGACCCGATATCTTTGAAAGTCTCTCCCTGGCCCACATTTTTTTTCCAAATTACTGGATCCATTGCTGGACAGGATCACATTTAGGCATGTAATGTATTCACTTTCAAATCCACACTTGCTTTTTTGCTACACTAGTGTACAGTACAGTACGAATTATAATGAGAATGGTTAAAAACTTGACCACATGGTAATCATTATTACAGTCATAACCACATTCAAATCCACACTTGCTTTTTTGCTACACTAGTGTAAAGTACAGTACTAATTATAATGTTATTTTCGGATGATTATTTTATAGTACTGTACTAGTATCTCGCCATCCACGGTATCATTCTTGCAATCCACTTAAATTTTACAGTTATGGATCGTATATACTGAATATATATTCTTTCTATTAAAAAAAAAAAGGTCTTGCCATATCACACCAAGTATAGCACGTAGACATCTTGATGGAATTGGTTAAGTAACTTCACATGTCTTGCATATAAGGTCGAGGCTTCACATCCATAGAGCAATTAGTATAGTGTATGTTATGGCTATTCCATATGACTGACTGGCCTTTTATATACGATGTTCTATATCTTTACTATATCTTTATCAATTTGACCATTTGAGGTAAAGGCAGAGCAAGTTACATTAATGCATCTGTTGTTTTTAGACCGATTCCATCAACAACGACGTTTGGTTTTGTTTGTACATAAGATGGACATGGTTGGTACAGGACTTCTCGATGCTGATAGTCAGCCCGAAGTTGCGTGCACCATATTCATCCATCAAATGCTGAAGTGCCTCTTCAGTGTGAGCGAAGAGACCACAGTCGTCTGCAAACCGTAACTCCCTCACAAGTGTGTACCTTCGTTTTTGAAAAGACCACCGTCAGTGCGAAACCTAACAAGTACTCCGTCTGTGTTAGTGCTTCATCTAGCATCGCTGCAAAGAACAATACACACAGAATGGGAGCAATGACGCAAACGTTTCACTCTGGTCGTCACATAAAACTTTTATGACATTTTCCCATCCACACAAACCAGACCCATCATACCATCATGAAGTTGTGATGATAGATACTAGCTGCAATATTATAATTTTCCCTAATAATAATATTAATAATACTGTATAATTATTAATATTATTGTTGCTTAAATATGATAAAATATATTCAAATAAAATTACTGGATTGTTTAAATACTGTAACACTAAAAAAAAATTCTAAACATTTTAGGTTGGTTCTAATACCAATTCAATAGTCACTAGCTGCAAATTTATAGATTTTTAATTTATTAAGAATGGTTGTCCATAAAAATCAAAGATTTGGTGGCAGATGTCAAAAAATGGATTTCTCTCAAATTTTTACCATTAATAGATACTTGGGTAAAAGCATATCTATGACACTTGTTTAATTTTTAGCCTTCGTTGTCATGGCAACGACCCATTTTCAAAATTTTACCGTTTTTCTCAATTTTGGACATTTTCAGAAGAGAAAAGACACTGACTTTCAGCTTATATAAGGACTATCTGTATCTTCCAAAGTGGTGCATACATATCCACCATCTTCCATATTCTGATAGTCAATAGTTGTCCAAATAATAATCAAGAAAAAAAGTTGTGGGTAATTTACACACGTGGATGCGGTATTGCTAGAAAAAACGTCATTTTTTGAATAAAAATATATCACTTTTTTACTGAATGGATAACACTATAAATCAATGTAGCTTTATTTCAAAATAATGTTACTATAGTTATATAAATTGTCTAACAACATGTTAAGAAATGTGTTGCCAGGCTCATTTCAAGTAATTTAAAACTTAATTTTGTACTGTATTGCCAGAAAACAGCATTGTTTTTATTGAAAATTAACATAATTATACATCTTTTTACTGAACAGTTAACGCTATAAAATATAATCCAATTCATTAACCATAACAAATATAGTTACCTGACTAGTTTAACAACATGCTAAGGAATGAGTTGTAAGGTTTATTAATATGCATTACTGTATTGCTAGAAAAAACAGCATTTTTTCATTAAAAAATATTGTAAATATTCATTTTTTTAGTGTACGGAAAATGCTATAATATAAAATATAGGCCCTAATTCATGTAACCAGAATATTACTATATACATGACTACCATAACAACATATGTTGCCAGGTTTATTTCAAGTATCGTAAACCTACTGCATTGCATGTAAAGCAAACAACTTAATTTAACTTTCTGAAAAAAAAAAAAAGGGAAAAAAAAAAACAAATTCAAACACCACTCTGACAAAAGCAATCCATGATAAATTCGCTTTCAACGACGAATTATGGTTTTCAACTTAGGAAGACTAAATTTAATTTTTGAATTTACCTTGAAAAGTTAATTTTGCTATATACAATTTGATGTTAAAGATCAACTGTTTCGTGGACAAGCATTTGGAGGTTGTCTAATGCGATTCCTCTTCGGCAACTTAAAGAATAATCTTCATCTGACTCGTCAACAGTTTTGTAGCCTACAGTGTACTACTGTGTCTTGAAACTTCTCTAATAGCTTTACATCTTTTGCTTAGATATATTCTGATGGTTTAGATAACTCTGTCGTTCCTTTTAATTAAAAGATTAGACATTAGAAGATAAAAATGCTACCATGGTAATATGCAAGTGTCAGTTGAAAGCCTTTTAGCATAACCTAATTCTGCTTTGTCCAACAGTGTTTGATTCTCAGGTCTGTATTTAAGTGTTCCTGTAACTATCTAATTTTCTAGTATACAGAAGCGTAAGGACTTTTTAAATCCATCTTCCGGACAGAAAAACAAATGATTATTAAACGTATCTTTCATTTCTAAGTTGGCCTTGTGGACAGACTGGTAGATGTTGGCGAACAGGTTGATCAGAGACCTTTGCAGTGATGATTTCTTCAAAAATTCCATTGTATTTTGGTGGTTCATGCACACCAAAAGACACTATGGTATCTTTGAAATTTGTTTTTCACTTTCTGAACCAGATCAAATGTCATATGCCCTCCATACTCAAACTTTAGGGGGAGGGGTGCCGGCCCGGCCCCGCCCCTCCTTTTGGAAGGTAAAAGAAAGAGAAAAAAATTAAGAAAAAAGTATAGCCCAGACACTTTAAATGGTATTTTTGGGCGTCTAGAACACGAACATTTTCGGACCCCCTAGGAGAGTGTTGTCTCGATCAGCCCAACTTTCGCCCCCTCCCTTTTTGGACATCTCTGGATCTGCCCCTGCCTGTAGTTGTAAATTCATTTTAAAACCATCTTCAATGACATGAACTTCGTTTGCATAAATTTGCACATTTACC